TCACATTGCATATCACATATCTGCTATATGAAAAGTATAATTAAGGTGAATTTACTGTCCAAAGCCCTCTCACATCTATTTTATAGAATCTATACTTATCTGTGACCTCCAAAGAAGCCTCTGAAACTGGGGGGCTGAGACGGGTCCTCATCCCAAAAGGCATCTGATTCCAGACTTAACCCCTTCAGGATGGGTGACGGACAAATTCCGTCATCCTGGGGATACCCTTAACGACGAGTTACGGACCGCGTCCGTCAAGTGGTAAAATTAACCCCAGATCGCCGCGATCGCAGGGTTAATGGTGCTCCGGTCTGCCTCTGTATTAGAGGCAGACCGGGAGCACCCGATCAGGCTGCTCCAGCACCGGTGCTCGCTCTGACAGGCTGTCAGAGCGAGCACATGTGCTCAGTATACTCACCTTCCGCCTCCCTGCACTTCCTGGTTCTGTGTGAAGTGCAGGGAGACGGATCATCACTGATCTTGTCCCTGTTAGAAAAAAAAATAAAGTTAATTTAAATTCCCACCCCCCTTTACCCATTTTAATAAAAAATTAACCCCTTCCCTGCCAATTGATCCCTGACTACAGTGATCAATTGGCAGGGATTACATTTTACTATGATCTGATTTTGTTTTTAAATGTATCTTTTTAATTAATTTAAGTATTTTAAAATTATAAATTTAGCTAGCTGGGGTGGGTGGAAGTTAGTGGGGAAATTGGGGGATTTGGTGTTAGGCTAACTAGGGGTTAACATTAAAAAAAGTTTTAAAATAAGCTTTAAAAAGTTCAAAATTATGTTAAAAAAAGTTTTAATAACGTTTAAGTAAAAAATAAAAAAACACCCCCCTTTAGCCAGTCCAAATAAAAAATAACCCCTTCCCTGCCAGTCAATCACTGCCTACAGTGGTCAAAATACAGATCACAGTGTTATACGATTAACTTATTTATTTTTTAACCCTCAGGGGTTCAATTTATTTAATTAACTAAATTAAATATTTTATAATTATATATTTTGCTAGATGGGGTGGGTGGGAGTTATGGGAAAATGGGGAATTTACTGTTAGTGCTGCTTACTGCTAGTTAGTGGTTAACGGTAAAAGAAAAGCTTAGAAAAATGTTAAATCTGTAAAAAAAGTTTAAAAACTAGTTTTAAAAAGTAAAAAAATTTTTAAAAAGTAAAAAAAATACATTTAAAAATGCTCATTACCACTACACCTGGAACAAACTAGAGAAAAAATTATCCCACGACAAGATTCAAAATATGCCTTTTGAATTACCCCAGGGTGTATTCCTTAATAAATAGTATGTGTTTGTGGGGAAGTTTCAATAACCAACCATCTAAACTGCTCCAAATTGGAACATGGACACAGCGTAAAACTTCAAAGTTAGAAAAAAACTGAATGGCGGCGTCTCAAATGTGCCCCTTCAACATCCACATATACCTGGCAAAGGTACATACGGGGGTATTGCTGTACTCAGCCAACATAGCTGAGCAACATATGAAGTATTATGCAGTGGTAGCACACATAAGGTTTGCAAAATATACTGTGCAAACTCACTTTGTGTGTCAAAAAGGCAGAAAAAATGCTTATTACCACTACACTTGGTACAAGCTAGCGGAAAAATGATCCCATGCTAAGGTTCAAAATATGCCTTTTGAAATACCCTGGGATGTCTTCTTTAAGAAATGGTATGGCTTTATGGGGTATTTGGATTATATAGCCTGGTAAAATACTCTAAAATGGGACATGGGCACAGCGTAAAAATTTAGTTTGAAAAAAACTGGAATGGCTGTGTCCCAAATGTGCCCCTCCGATGTCAACATATACCTGGCAAAGGTACATACGGGGGTATTGCTGTACTCAGCCAACATAGCTGAGCAACATATGAAGTATTATGCAGTGGTAGCACACATAAGGTTTGCAAAATATACTGTGCAAACTCACTTTGTGTGTCAAAAAGGCAGAAAAAACGCTTATTACCACTACACCTGGTACAAGCTAGCGGAAAAATTATCCCACGCTAAGGTTCAAAATATACCTTTGAAATACCTTGGGGTGTCTAGTTTAAGAAATGGTAGGCCTTTTTGGGGGTAGTTTAAATTTAAAACCTGCAAAGATGCTTGGAAATTGCACATAGGCCCAGCGTCAAAATTCAAAGTTCGGTAAAAACTGATATGGCTTGGTCTCCTATATGGCACTGTAGCTTCACGAAATAGTGCCAAAGACATTCATTGGGGGTGTTTTTTTACTCAGAAGACCTTTGTGTTTTTTTTTGAACAGTCAAACTGTTATAATACCCCAAATGGACACATAGGCTCATTAAATCCGTCTCTCAAAATTCCACTGTGAATACTGAAAAGGAAAGGTCTCCTATATGGCACTGTAGCTTCACGAAATAGTGCCAAAGACATACAATGGGGTTGTCATTTTATTCAGAAGACTTAGCTGAGCATAATTTGGGGAGTTTGAACTTAGTGGCACATGTGAAATATACAAAATGCCCAGCAAAAATGCAATCCATATGTAAAAAAACGCAAAAAATTATTTTTTACCACATACTTTGGCATATATTGGTGAAACAATGGGGGCATGTTAAGGCACAATATGCACTTTATGATATACCCTGGAGTGTCTACTTTTACAAATGGTAGGCCTTTGTGGGGTTTTTTTGAACAGTCAAACTGTTATAATACCCCAAATGGAAGAATAGGCTCATTAAATCCGTCTCTCAAAATTCTACTGTGAATACTGAAAAGGACAGGTATCCTAAATGGCACTGTAACTTCACAAAATAGTGCCAAAGACATACAATGGGGGTGTCATTTTACTCAGCAGATGTAACTGAACACAAAATAAAACTTTGTACTGGAATAGCACACACCAACTTTACAAAATAAACATGAGAAGTTCTTTGTTATAAGTTTGTGTGCCCAAAACAAAACCCCCCCACAATTTTACTCCAATATTTAGCAGAGGTTGGCGGTGAAATGGCTACGTAGAAAGTGTCAAAACAACCTTAGGTAAATAGCCTTTGATGTCTACTTTATATAAATATATACTTTTGTGTGGCAATTTTGTTTTCTTTTATGGCTATTAAGCTTACAAGACAAACATAACAAATTCTAAAATCGCTCCACATTAAAAGTTTATTTTACTCATTGTGCTTTGTGACCTGTAACTACCAAAACAAACTTAAAATCCCAGACACATTATATATTCTGTAAATCAGAATAACTAAATGAATTTATTTTTAATTACTTTCCTTAACCTGCACTAATTATGCACACATTATTATTGCAAAAACTGTAAAAAAAAAAAAAATCATTTTGTTTGCATTTTTCTGTATTTTTTTTATAATAAATAAGCATTTATATATATTTGTTATATCAAATTAAAGCCCTTTCTGTCCTCTAAAAAACAGTATATAATATGTGTCGGTAAATATGAGAGAGATGCAAATTGCAGTTGAACGCAAACAGCAAGAAAATGCAAAAATTGCTTGTGTCATTAACCCCTTAAGGACCAAACTTCTGGAATAAAAGGGAATCATGACATGTCACACATGTCATGTGTCCTTAAGGGGTTAAGCGTAAGTTAAGCTTCTGAAGCTCTGTCCTTAAGGAGTTGAAGGGGAAAAAACTATATAAAATGAATCATGGGAACACCCAGAACATGCATATTTGTATATAATCTTAATTTGCAGATAATTTATGCCTTAAAGACATATAAAGGATATTTAATAAAAAATACAAGTATCTGTAAAAAAAAATAATAATATATATATATTTACATTTTTATGACAATAAAAACAGCTTTGTTAAACAGATTCAAGTACCAGTACTTATGACAAGAAGTATACAGAATCCATTTACAGCAGGCAGGTTTAGCATAAATGCAAAGTTTTATTTTATTTTTATTTTTTGGATTTGTTATTGCCCAAGAAATCTCTGAACATATTGAGAACTTTATACCTAACAAGTAAAAAAAAGAAGAAGCAAATTGCAATGGAGACCATTACAATATTGCTTTGCCGATTGAGGTCAGGGCTTTAAAAAATTAATAATTAAATAAGTATTCTATAGCTCGCTAGACCACTGGCTTATAATTAAAAGTTGGCACAACACTAATAAAATAATTATACTTATACTACACATTATAGCTGTGACAACATAATATACAGGGTAAAAATGCTATTTCACAGTTTAATAGACTTACCCAGTACTTTGAGGGAGGTTCTAACTACGTTTATTTAATTAATTTACTAAAGAAAAAAAAAAAAGTTTTTTTTTTTTTTTGCAAGTGCATTTTCAGTGCAAGGTCATTTTGTGTTCAGAGACTATTCAGTTTTAAAAGCTGTTCTATTAGTCTCACGTTATGAACAGCCTTGTGGTTAATATGCACACTAAAACAAATTGGCTTTTAGATGCACATTGTTTTACTTTAAGATTCTATTGTTAATACAGGAACTAAAGTAATTTAAAGAAAGCATATTATTGTAGTAGATTTCATTTATCTATCTTGGTCCACTGTTCACTGATCTCTCAAGTCTAAGTATGGTGTTCAAACTGTTTTTCTTACGATACGTCGTGTGTTTATATCCGCATCTGTATATTGCTTTGTGGATACGGACCCACTGACTGACACAATGGATGATGTTAAAAGAAGGCAAGATGAAACAGACTGAATCATGATCTGAATCGTAACAGACTGAATCATGATCTGACATCTGAACCTGCAAATGTGAAGAAGGATGAACAAACAGACGTGATACATTCACAGTTAAGTTGGAATATATGAAAAATGAATCATCAACATCATTATCAGAAAGACTCTGGAGAAAAAAAGACTGTACCTGAATTATCTTATACAGTAAGAAAGAAATGCAAAGATGCAAGCAAAAGGATGCTAGAAAATTGAAGATTATGCTAGCGCAGTGTACTAATAATCTTAATTTTAATAATGACAGGAGGTGGGTATTTTGCATTAACTTTCTTTACTAACTCCATAGCAGCAAAGAAAAAAAACTGTTAACGAAAGAACCAATCAGAGTGAGTCAGAGTGTATATAAGTCCAAGCATGACCAATCATTTCCTCTTGACTAATGCGACATCACAAATTCATAGTATAACAAACATGTCTGATTCAAATTGATCCAACTTAATCCAACATGGAAACCAGTAAGGAATACAGTCTTCTCCATCATCCATAAGACTTGTTAAACTGAAAGGAAAGAGAGATTAGTATCAGTGATACGGAACAGACCGTATGAAGCAAATGTCTATGAGCATATATATAAACTCTTTAATGATTACCCATAAGATGTTATTGTTCTAAATCAATCCACATTGCAAGAGACAACGATACTCCCCACCATAAATTTATATCAGTACACAAAATTAAATACCGGAGTCAAACTTATACCCATTAACCTTAACTTACCTCCATATGGGTGGGAACGTCAAGAAGAAGGGGAGGGAAAATACTCGCCTCCTGTCATTATTAAAATTAAAATTTTTAGTACACTGCGCTAGCATAATCTTCAATTTTATAACATGACAGGAGGCTTCATATTTTGCTATTTTTATGCTTAGGTAGAAGAGCGAATGCGGCATTGGACGATGGACGGAAATAGAAAGTCCGAAACGTCGATTCGCGGGACCAGTCCGCCGTTTGTAATATATCTGATAGGGATGCGCCTGCCAGGAAAGCTGATGATGCCACTGCCCCTCGCACGGAGGGTGCTCCAAAGGAAGAGTCTATACCGGCTACGGAGATGAGCCATTTGATCCATCTGGCCAGTGTGGTGACCGAAACCGGACTGTGCGGGTTAACATATGACACCAATAGTTGTCGTGCTGTCGGTAGGTGTAACGTCTCTGTTGTCGTCACATATGCCGCAGAGTCTTAACCACACAAAGCTGAAGGTCCGAGTTGAAGAATGGGTAGAATACCGATGACGAGTCGGATTTAGTCCATCATGAGATATGGAATGTGACTCCCTCCGGGTCGATGGAAAAAGCGTCTTTGTCAAAAGCCTGGACATCCTATACTCTCCGGAATAAAACCATGCATAATAGGAAGGTGAATTTGGTCGTCAGTTGTTTTAAGGACAATAGTTCATTAGGGGGCCAGTCCCTCAGGAAATGGAGGATGACATCCACATCCCATAGATGTTGGTATTTAGGTGCTGGGTGTTGTCTTAATTTGATGCCCAGTAGTAGTCTACATATTAGAGGGTCGTGTCTGACCGCTCTTCCCTGGGACGGTACGTGGGCTGCCGAGATTCTTCTCGCTTTAACACAACCGTTCATAACCATGCTCAATTTAATGCGACAAATCAACCTCTTTGGCCACCACTCTTACTAAAAATTAAATGTCTCTAAAACACAGGCACTAACAATAGGAGTGGCAAAGGAGGCAAGAAAAAGGCTAAAAGAGGCATTTCCCCTCGATTGGAGGTCAGACCACTTAACATACCTAGGAATTAAATTCACAAAAAATCCTGCAGGACTCTTCCATGCAAACTATGTAAGACTCCTGAAGGACTTCGACACTACCCTGAAATCATGGGAGGGAAAATTCCTCTCATGGCTGGGGCGCATAGCAGCAATCAAAATGTTATTGCTACAAAAACTATTATATCTCTTCTGAACACTACAAATACCCCTACCAAACACTTATCTCAAGTCGGTCACCTCACTACTCATGAAATTCACACGGCAACACAAAAAAAGCTGAGTAGACGCCAAAATCTTACACAGGCCGGTTGCAGACGGTGGTCTGGGTATCCCAAACCTTCATATATACCATAAAGTGGTATTATTGAGCACTATGCTTGCAGCACATGACTCCCATTATATCCTACAATGGACAGGAATAGAGGCCTTCTGGCTAAAAATGGACCACATCCGACCAAAACCATTTACAGGCCTCCTCACTACTCGGTTGCTTGTAGACACCTGGGACGGGGTGAGGAAAACGGTGGTTAACCACCCAAAAATACCGATGGCAGCTCCCCTGCAATCTATAAGATGGATAATCCCCACTTTTAACTATAAGCCGTGGACCGGAAAAGTCATCACCCATGTACTCCACCTATACCAAGGAGAATACCTCAAAACCTTCCTATGCCTACAGGAACAATTTGATCTACTCACAAAATTCCTATTCCCTTACCTCCAAGTCAAATCTTTACTAACAAACAACCCACCCACGAATCCCGAGAAAGTGTTAAGCGCACCGACCTCAAAGTTTGAAAATATATGCCTATCAAATAAGCCCAACATAAAACCTCTCTCCACATGCTACCACATGATCATACCACATGATCATACACAGCCAACCAATAACACTTGAGCACTACAAAAAAGCTTGGCACAAAGAATTAGGCACCAAGCTAAGCCCAGAGCAGTGGAAAAGAGCTTACACAGCACATAAAGGCATCACATTGTGCGCCCAACACTTAGAAATACAACGGAAAATATTATACCGTTGGTACTTAGTACCGGAAAAAATACACAAAATTTGGCCCGCCTCTTCGAACATGTGTTGGCGTTGCGAGAGGGAAGTGGGCACGATGATCCACATATTGTAGACATGTCCCACACTTGCTCCCCTCTGGACACAAGCCCTCCGAATCATGTCGGATATGCTCAGTCACCAGGTAGAAAAAAATCCTGCACTGTGACTGTTGTACATGTTTCCTGAGAGGATGTCCAAAGCTCACCGGGCATTAATATACCATAGGCTTACGTCAGTACATATCCTAATAGCGAGACATTGGAAATCTAGAGAAATACCATCGCATACACATCTATTAAACCAAATTGCTCTCAATTGGACATACGAAGCCATGCACCAACACCAATTTGGCACAAACCCTACAGTAGCGAAGGCAAAACTTATATGGGACACATACAACAACCACACTGATAACCCAACAACATTATGGCTGATGGAAGGCAAGAACGGCATCCGTGGTGTGGTGCAGATGAGATCAGGTCCTATCACGAGAACAAACAATAATTCGGCGATGGATGATACTTGCTTGCCACCCTCCCCTACGGACGCAGGTCACCCCGCCAAACCAGCAGGACAACCAAGGGTCATCCCTTCCCCATTCCCTTGATAACCCCCCTTAGCCCTCTTTCTTCCCCTCTTTTCTTTACTCCCCCTTCAACACTAACCTCCCCACAAAATGCTTGGGGCATGTAATATGCATTATTTATGTACCTAACGACAACAAGTAATGTCTATACTAAAATGTCTAATCTAAATGTAAACAGGACACATTAACCTATGTTTAGTCATGAAGAATATACTAATGGTACACACGTGTTTATAATGTAATCGCATGTCTCAATAAAAATTGTCAAATTTAAAAACAAAATAAAACTGCACTGGGATTATGTTAACAAACAATAAGCACCTGAACTGAATTGGACTGCACATAATACAAGTTCTATGATCGTGAGGACAACTCCAAGAACCAACTCAAAAGGAGAGACACAGCTCACAGTGAAATGATTGCTAAAGTGACCTACACTGGTATTTCACAAGAAATCTATTGAAGATCATTCCAAAAACTGATTATACATGAGAAAGATGTGATTGGACTATTTCAAATCCTAATAATGGACTCAACGATGATGGCAAAGCATGCTGAAATCAGAAAAAGACGGGACAGATGCTTGTGAAAGACTTTGGATACAACTGAAGGTGATACAAGAAAAGACTTTGCCATATAGTTTATCATTGAATGACTACCGCAAACAGCCTTCTTATGCTGAAAAGAAGCGCTATGCTAATTGTAGACATTGCTATTATGTTTCCAGACAGAAGATGACTGGAAAAAAAAATAAAGGCTGATAACTGTCAACACCCAGTTATTTCTCAAGATAGAACATAGTACTGAGAATACCTGATTGACTGTAAGGGAATACACCTTGATTCCAAGACTCAAGCTTGTAGGCCCCATAAGTGTTGTCCTATAATAAAATTGGCTAACTTGGAATCATGTATTGCCCTGTGCTAAAAGTGAACTTAGAGCTTAGAGTGAAAAATCATACTGGAACCATATTATGTAATAATGAACTTTACAATGACATTTGGTGGCATGTGAATTTGAATTCGGAAGAAACACATTAAGAAAAGGAACATTGATGGAATGAATAAATAATAACAAGACAGGCCTACTAAGAGCAGAAGCCCTACCAAGAGAATGGAATATAAAAGACCAGCAAAACCTTTCAGAAATTTGACATCACGATTTGCAGCTTTTCTTAAACTCTACATATTATGTACATACCTGCAAAGCAAGGAACTCCTGTAAACATAAACACAGATACATTGATACAACAAGGAATCTGTAATGGTTCTGTTGCAGCTGTGATCTACGGATGTAGTCCTTACTCTTTTGGTATAACTATACCAATCAAAACATTAAATGGCTCCATAGAACCATAGACAAAGGATTCTTGCTATATTCTGGACTTCCAGGAATGTGGTGCATGGACTGAAAAATTATAATTACTAAAGCAATCATGCTATTTTTTTCCCTGTATCAGAAATGTGTCAGTGCCAATATGTAAAATTATACAGATACTAGAATTAATGGTATAAAATAAACACATAATGTGTTAATTGCAAAGGTGGATAGACTTTGTGAATATCTGAAATGTAATTGAAAAATATTGCTAAAATGCCATACGCACCTGCAGTCTGGCCTACAAACAAATATATTAGACATAAAGTATAAGAGCATAACAGCTGATTATCCAGATGGTTATACATAAATGCCTGTGTCTTGCAGCAAAAGGAAATAGCTAAACAATGCAGATTCCTTTATATCTACTGGACATTTACTTGTAGATTAAATCCAAACTGTGGCCAGATTATCTGATTTTAACAATGTATCTTTACATAATTGAATCATTATAGCTAAAGATCATTTGATTACAATAACAACTGCAATAATGAATAATGTTTTAACCTTAAAAGAAAATGTAAAATGTTTTTTATTAAATCAGAAACTACTCGATATTCATTTAAGTTTGCAGAGTGGTATAATTAATATAAGTTAAGTACTTCAACAGTTAACATTTAACTGAAAGACAGGCAGAAATTTGACTTCACTTATCACAAACATTTATTTATAATGATAAACATGTTCAGTCTGCCAGAGCTAAGGTCAGTCAATGGAAGGTAAAAGAGTATTATGGATTAACCCTTCCAAGTGATATACATGATGAATTTGGAAATTGATAACTTGAAAGATGTCAAAGATATAAATTTAACATCCATACCACTATATGTATATATATTAAAATACATGTGATCAA